AGGGCTCCTTTATGTATTTACTCTCGTTTTACAATGGACCAGATGCATTTACATGCATATTTGAGGGGGGTCCTCATTCTGACCAGAGTTTTCAAGTCAAAGGATGAATCAACAGCCAGTCTAATGTATGCAGAGACAGGCAGGGTAATATTATGGGCCATAATGTTTCTGGAGACTTTTCTCCAGAGTAATCTGATTTGATAATCGACAGACAAGACAAACTAGCAGCTAATAGAACAGTGTGGAACATGTGGGTTGTAACTTCCTCTGTCCTATAAAACAGGCCCCAATGTCAGTAGATGGAAGATTTGTGGCATTCATAAAGATAACCTCTGACATTCAGAGGTCGCTGCTCATTTACGCAATATGTGCCTTCCACACCAGCTAAATATGACATAAAAATCTGGGCAGCATGTGATGCAAAAACCAGTTATGTTTTGAAAATGCAGGTTTAAACTGGAAAACCAGCTGGAGGATCATCTTCAGGACTCATTTGTCTTGATTTTAGTCAGCAGGTCAATTTGACCCAGGGCAGAATAGTGTCTCAAGTTCAATTATAAAGATGACCCCTTCAAAAAAAAATCTAAATGTAATATAAAAAAATTTACAAAAAATCACTTTCAAGGATAATTAGTGTGATTTTGTGTTTAGGTTTTTTCAGTGAGCATAAAAAATGTAAGTCACATTTTTTATGTCCAAATGAGTAAATTGTTGTCATTGATCCTTTATTTGTAAGAAATAAAAAACATCATTGCACAAATATTGATTGAAATGGTTAGTATTGGAGTTAATAATCAGATACAAAAAAGTTTTGGAGGATTTTTTTGGTTTCTGACAATATTGCATGATTAAACACTCTCCAGGTCAAATTGACCCACGAACATTATTGCTGTACCTCAGAAACGAACATAACAGGAGAGTTAATCCATTCATTTGTGCTCCCTGTGTGAGATCTGCAATCAGATTTCACACGTTATGTGTTTGTTAGTAATCTGTCTGATAAGTAATATACAACGGTGTAAAAAAATGAGACCACTTAAAATGATCAGATCTCTGATTTTACTCTTTGTAGTATATGTTTGAGTAAAGTGAACATTGTTCTTTTATTCTATGACCTACTGACAGCATATCCCTGAAATTCCAAGCAAAGATTTTGTATTTATTTGCGGAAAAATAAGAAATGGTCAAAATAATGAAAAAGATGCAGTGCTTTCAGACCTCAAATAATGCAAAGAAAAGAAGTTCACATTCATTTAGAAACAACAATACTAATATTTTAGCTCAGGAAGAGTTTAGAAATCAATATCTGGTGGAATAACCATGAGGGCTCAGTGCAGTGGTCTCTTCATTTTTTCCAGAGCTTGTATACCAGCACCAACAAAGCACACCAAGTCTTACATTTTACTGCATTTTCGACCAAATGGAAGTCTAAACCAGATTATTGTTTTCCTCAGTGGCTTGGTTTTAATAGACATTCCGAAAGAACACCAAGTACTCAATCAGTTTATATTATGAGATGAACTTTGAGGTAAAATTTTCCTTTTCCTGCTATTTGAGCATTAAAATACACACATTAGTAGAAAGGTGAATCTGTGAAGAGCCAGCTCAGTCAGAGACGTTTCTGGAAGCAAATTACAAAACAAAGTCAAAATTTAGTCTAAGATTTGCTCTTGTGGATCTAAAGAGACAAAAATCAGCCAAAACTACCCAAAAATCACAAAGGAAAGGGTTCCATCTTCATCAAAATGGGTCAGGACATTTTGATGAAGATGTTCTGACGATCTAAACCCAAGCATACCTACTCGATGTGATAAAAAGTTTATCACCTGCTGCACAGTGCTCAAAACCTTAGCAGGCACAACAGAGTGCTCTGGATCCAAACAAGGGAATAACATCGCCATCTAGAGGCCAGACCGGCTCCCACACTTCGCTCCAAGCTGAAAAAATGCTGGTCATGCTCTTTTGAGTTTCTCCTCGCTCACACTCTTTCCAACATGTGGCTCCAAGCAGGCAGGTTGACAGAGAACAATCAGAAACCAGCACCGGAATGACAACACACACACATTCACGCGCACACACCCACACGGCGTGTAAGGCCTTTTTATCTGCTGCTTGATGAGACTCTGAACTATAGCTCCCCATGCAAGATCGCTTCTAGCCCACATGCAGGGTGAGAACAAGAGGAGAGAGCAAGGATAAACACTTCTTCACACAGATAAAACTCTTGAGAGGACGGTGTGCCTGCATGCGTGTGCGCATGTGGGCGTGTGTGTGTGTGTGTCGCTGGTCAGGACAGAGAGAATGTCTCGGCGGTCTTACCCAGGATGGGAGCCAGTCGGAAGATGTCTGACAGACGTTTGTTCACTGGTTCGTATGGAGACTCCTCCAAGAAGTCATTACCTGCAACCCAAACAATCACATGAGACACAGCTGCATACCAACACCCAACTTCCTGGTGTGTTTATCATTCCTCATGGGGGTGGATCGGGAGTGGGGGTTTGTATTGGCCTGCATGTGACACGTGTAATTTGGGTCAGTCGATTTCCACGCTGGCACACAGCCACACGCTTGATTAGGCAGATTGGTCAGCTGCATTGCACAACTGGAAGCAGGGGAGGAGCTGGACGCTAAGAGCAACACTTCAGGATGCCACAGACAGCACCAGGCGGGGGAGGGGTGGGGGTGCCTTATGCTTCATTAGCTGCAAGGGATGCAATTCAGGAGGTCAAGAAGTAACTCAGCTCTCTCAAACAATTCAAAGATGGTCCTGACTCTGAATGAGTGTATTAGTTCTGTGTTGTGTTTATGTGAGTGTTTGGGGTGTGGGCCATTCCAGGGTGTATTCAGTGTCCATTTGGAGGTCAGATTTTGGATCATAGAAGCAGGTGGAAGTTTGTCTCTCCTTCGTTCATCATTGCTTGAGCGATGATGTGGCTCTAAGCAGTAACTTTGCAACTCCTTAGGGCCCCCTGCTGGCATTTAAACTAATTGAATCTACCCAAGAAATATTTATTTATAAAGCACATTCCCTTAATAACATTTTATATATATATATATATATATATATATATATATATATATATCTCGCTGCACCTCTCTTATAAAGCTAATAGAAAAGGAAGAAATTACAAGATTATGATCCCTAGACCATAAATCCATATTCCTGTAACCTTCAAAACCGAAGTGTTTAAAAACATGCATGTTTTTGGATATTGTATTCTTGCAACTGTTAGCTTTGATGCATTTAAGATAGGGGAGAGGTTTGCTTTTCAAAATTCAGCTGATTCCAATCTGATCACTATCTTTATATTTTAACAGGAATTTGAATATTTCTGCTGCCAATCTGCCATGATATCTGTTAGTAGACTGAAAAGTATAGTCTTTTTACTTTATAAAGAACAAACCTCTCCAACTCAACCCAAATACATGTTAACTACAATAAAATTAGCTGTAAGTTGGTTCCCAAGTGAAATTCTGCTCAGGGCCTCATCCATCTTTGAGTTAGCCAAGATGCTACAAATCATCCCTCCAACCTACAGGACGTGTCAGGCAAACTGTAGAGTAGAGTAGCAGAGAGTTTACCAAACCAAAGCCTCAGTGGGACTCCTCTCAGAGAAAACACCCATGACCTGAATCAGATTTTACCAACATGTCTCCACTCAGTTGTCCTACCAATGGGGGAGGGGAGAAGGGTCAGCTACATAACTTCTGAGAAGTATATCGGCACATTATAGCACCGATATACACCTGTAGCTAAAGCACACAGTGGTCTGTTAACTTATCAGCAACTTAAGCTAACATGAGTATTTACAAGCTTCCTTTTACAGACTGTGATAATAATATCTGTCAATCACTTTGAAAAACTTTTATTGTCTTTATCTTTGTGTTTTCTTTCATCTTTAGCTTCCTGTCATCAAATATAATTTTTCTGCCATCATTTGGCGCCCTTGGCATAGCGCCCCCATACATATATATAATGCATACCAATTTTATGTCACTAAATATATCTGTATATTTCCAAATTGATTTTAATTTAAGGACCTAGCATATCAGCTTATCAGAATTTTGGTATGTGGATTCTAAAAAACACAAAGAATGTTTAAAAAGATTTTTTAGGATTGTTTGTTTCAATGAAACCTAAATTTAAAATTAAAGTTTAGGTCTAAAAGATCTGGAAAGGGTTTCGGTTCTAGTGTGCCATCCGAGGATTGTTATTGGCTGGTTTATAGCAAACTTTTTGGAGATGCCCCAGGACTCAACAGTTCTAAATATACCTAACAGGGGAAAAAAACAAAAAAACTCTCTTTTATTTTTGTGAACAGCACAAACCTTGTAACGTCTGATAGATCCCCCAGTAAATCCGCAGGCAGTTCTTCTCCTTCTTCATGCCCCTTTTGCACCGGCAGTTGTACAGCGGGCTCTGCTTGAGCGCCTCCATGGCGCTGCGACACTCGTCCCTGGCCTCCACGCCGGCCACCAGGCTGAAGTTGCTCTCCTTGGCTCCGGCCACGCACTGCCTCATCGTACGATATTTGGTGCTGCACGCCTGCTCCCGCAGACACTGCTCGCTGGCCCGCACGCAGTCCAGTCGAGAGGCGCCGGCGCGCAGATTCTCCTCCGCGCAGCTCAGCACATCTGGAGAAGGAATGTACAGTGAAAACAAATCAGATGTAAAGAAAATTAAAAACAAAAATCTATAAAGCTTTGATCGTTTATGTGGCAAACATTAACAGCTTAAAGACTTTAAAAGCAGCTTTTTAGGGATTAAAACATGAAACTATGTCGCAATGCATCATATGTTTGCTTTAAAATCAGCTTAACTGACTTAAGAGAGATTTGTTGTTTTGGAACAGTTTGGAGACCTTCTCTAATAAAATTTCACCTCTTATTATTGAAAAACGAGTCCAAAGTTTGTATCCCTTGTAGTTAAACTTACCTAAAAGAGGCAGAAAATACAATAGCGCGACGATCATGGTCTCGAACAACAACCCGCGTCGAAAGAGAATGAAAGAAACTCAAAAGCGACGCAGTTTAATTCCCAGAGAAGTATAGAAATCCATGGACCAGACGTGGCGTGCGCTCCGCTGTGGAAAACAGATCCCAGCTCGACTCATACGGACAATAAATCCCCCCCAAAAGGAAACCAAACGAACAGGGAAAAAGTGTCCAGTTTCTATCACTTTTTTAGTATTCGCAACTCAAAAGCTTTTTGAGTGTTTTCTTTTTTCGTTTTGTTTTCTCCCGCTTTCCTGTTCGGACTGGTTCGCTCAAACGCAGTGGGACACAAAAGACTAACAGGATCAGGAGATCCGGTCTGACAGCATGCGTCCTCCCCGAGTCTAGCCAGTAGGATGCTGCTGCTGCTGCTGCCGCGCTGCTGCTGCGTCTGAGCGCACAGCCAACTGGAGTCCCGCCGCCCGTCTCCAGCGTACTCAGCAGTAGCAGGGGAGCGCCGGCTTCTACCCGCGCCCCACCCTCCCCCTTCTCACTTCGCTCTGAAACCACATCAATCATATTGCAAATTTATAAGAATGCAGCTTCCCATCACGACTGAACTCACTCACATGTAAAACCTTTATAATCAACAATTTTTTGTCCCGTTTTTCTGGCATTGATCGAGTTCAGAAACACGTGTTTTACTCAGATGCTCATGAGAAGTAGCTTGTTGCTTCTGTGATTTTAAAATGAAGCAACCTTTGGTGTGTGTGTGTGGGCTGCAAGAGGGCAAAGTGCACGACCCCAGGGCTGCTTTATTACATGATGAATATAGAAACATAAGGAGTCTGTGGCGCCTTGGACAAGCCCACTCCTTAGTAACAGCCTGAAATCCAGTCCAATTGGGTTATAAAGCACTTTTAGAAACAATACATAGTTGAGCAAAGGGCAGTACATTAAAAGAATAAACAGTAAATACAATGACAAGACAACAACTCATGCTGGGTGTTCAATGGCAGAGACAAAAAAATGAGTTTTCAAAACTGATTTTAAAGGATTCAGTGAAGGTGCAAGGCAAAAAAGACTAGGATAAAGCAAGACCAAAGGCCCAATCACATCTGAGCTTTGGACTCATGTTTGGAATGGCCAGAATACCTTAAAGGACAGTAGAGGTGCAAAAAGTCTGAGAAACAAAGTGGTAAGGCTATTAAGATGTTTAAGAAAAATACAAGAAATGTAAGAAATTCAAGTGGTCCAAGTGCCAAAATCAAACAAAAAAAATATATATATATACAGTATATACATACACACAGAGACAAGGGCGTAAATCCCATCTCATTATTGGGGGGGACCATAAACAGGGACATTTTTTAAAAGCAATTTTGGGGGGTTGGCAAAGTTATAGTAAAATGTGGTTAAAAATGTTTGTGTGTGTATTCAAGCTGCACAATCAAAATGACTACTAAGTAGCAATGAATAAACAAAGTGTTTTTCAGTGAACAACCTGTTGAGACCCATAGAAGTCAAACTAAGATTCAAATGTTTAGATATGAGTTTGGTTCAGAGTCACAGATCTAATCTCTGCTACACCTTAAGGCTCTAAATAAAAACAAGTTTTAATGAGTAACCCCACTTAATAAAATTCTTCATAAATATTGATTTATGGCAGTGGTTCTCAATACAAATCACGTTATTAAATTATAACTTAAGTTGCTTTAAACTTTTATTTTTGATGGGGATTTTTTATGTCCTGGATGGCTGAGAACCGATAAATATGTAGGAATTGAATATTTGGGAAGTACTATAACTTAAACTTAAGGGTCAGCACCAGAGTTTTGTAGAAAAATACTCAGATTTTATTTTGTGATTTTAAAGGCTCTACGCTGAATATGGTAAGATTTAAAGGCATACTTTCTTTTTTTTTTTTTACTTCCCTTGTCGTGTGAAGAAACATATTCACATATTGTTTTAATTTAATTTCTTATTAATGGAAACGCTGCAGTTGCAAAATGTTACTTTTTCAACATTAGCAGATTTGAGCACATTTGTAATGGAAACACAGCTTTTGGCAAAGCTTGAGCACCAACAGTGTGTTAGACAGGATGTTGGTTTATCTCATGTCTCAGGTTCACTTTGTCATGAACAGGGGCGCGGTATAGGGGGGAAAAGTGATGAAAATTCTAGGGGCCCTGACCAATTATTTATTTATTGTTCTTAGAAATAAAATTAAAAAAATAAATCGGGGGCCTGTCATTTACAAAATTAATCATATTGTATTTTCAAAGATTGTTTTTAGCAGTAAAAATTTAATGTTCCAACTCCCAAACCAAAAAACACACATCCATATTTGCCTGAGCCCATCCCCCCCTCCCATCTGTGTTAAATGGTTCGTTCCTGCTTGGAGCGCTTGAGAGTGACGCTGTTAGCAGCATCCAGTGGAAATCACGAACGATTGTGGCAATTACTATGCTGCTAAGAAAAGTTATAAAATCAGGTTTTCAAAAAAAGAGAGAGAGAGAGGGAGAGAGAGAAAAATTCAAGAGTATTAATTTATAACCCAATTTTTCTCCGAGAGAGGTGGGTAGACTGTGTGAGATTATCAACCATTTAGCATAGTTAGCTTAGCTACAGACTACTGTTTGCCTCCTTTTCACTAGCATTTAATGAATTAAAGAAAAAAAAAATTACCAACATATTCATATATTTAACTTGTCCCTTGTACCTTTTACCACTTAACAAACGAGTCAGTCAGCAGCAGCTCTAACCCACGTCCCTCCTGACCCGTCCTCTCCTGGGTGAAATTGAAGCTGCATTATGTCGCTTTTATATAAATATTTTTTTTCACATATTTTTTAAAACTGTCATTATGTTGTGACAGTATGGTATGAGAGGTAATCTGTGAAAAATCTATTTCCTCTGCTTTCTCCCAGTGCTAGAAACAACCAGTCAGTGCCGTCAATCACCATCTCATGTGGTGCTGCTCATCCTTCCTCCCCCTCGATTTGTGCTATTCTGCAGCTAGCATAGCACAGAGCTGTGCAGATTCAAACTGTGAATGCTCAGTTCAGTTAGCATAGCTACCAATGACAGCAGATAAACGGTTTCTTGTAATGAGAAGTTGTTTCTCCACCTTTAGCACATTTAGCAGTGAGTGAATGAGGCTAATTGACAGTGCTAAGAGCGTCCTACTAGTTCTAATTGGTTGTTTTGGTCAGAACAGTGCATTACTTTAGATAGCGATAGTAATTCAGGAAGGAGATGGAGGAGATTGATTGTTTTCACAGATTATCTGTCTCATAAACTGCTACGACATGGTGACAACTTTAACAAATATGGAGAAAACATATTTTTTATTAAAGTTACATACTGCAGCCTGAATAAAATGCAACTACATAGCATTTTTGAGAAGTCTGGATTGCTTTATGTGTAGTTGCACGTTGCTTTTGACTGTTGCTCATGGGGAGAGACATTTCAGTATCTAAAACTAAGAAAAAAATTAAGCAATCTACTTGCATACTGGATGTGGACAGTTGGATGCTAAATTCATGAGCAGTAAATATTGTGCTAATTATCAGTATTGAACCAAAGAAAGCAAGGCAGATGAAAGCCTTTAAAATTGTGACGCATTTTATGGGTCAAATAGACTCAAAATTGTGTGTGTGTGTGTGTGGGGGGGGGGGGGGGGCAAACAAATTTTTTGTCAGTGATTCCTAGCGGCGCCCCTGGTCACGTGACTCTCCCTTCAACCCATTGATTGCCAATATTGTCCATTCAAAAGCTAATTCACTCTCTTAAATTCATGGAAGCTGTCAATGAGGCTCTCCGCATTAAAGAGTGGGCCGAATCAATCAAGTATGGCGGAGGCCGGCGTGGTAAATCAGCTTTCGCCCAT